CGTGCCGGATGTTATGGTCGTAGCCCTATCTGTGCAGTTGGCGCTCCTGGTAAGTAACCACCTCAAATTCTCTTGAATTTGTTTTCATTAAGGTATCTGATGATCCCAACTTGTTTTGCAGACGGTTGGCAGGATCGTGGACCTAGGCCGCCGCCTGCATGATGCCCTTGGCAGGATTGATCGTTTGCAAATGGAGGTGGATGGTCAAAAGAGTAGGGCCGAGTTCGAAGTGATGAGAGCCGCAATGGAGAGTGCGCGGGCTGAAGCAGAGGAGGAGAGGGCTCGCTCAGCTGAACAGCTCCGCTTTGACGCTGAGAGTAGGGAAAATGCGAGCGAAGAATCGCTTAAGTTAGCCAAGAAGGCGCTTGCTGAGGTGAAGGTTCAGTTAGAGGAGCTCAATGCGGCCAAGGAAAAAGCCGATTCTGAGGCTTCTGCGGCATTTGAGGCAGGAAAAAGGGCCGCCTACACGGAATATGTACATGAAGTCCCCAAATTCGAGAATTGGGGGTTCAAACATGGGTGGCTCAAAGCCCTTGCTGCCGCTAGAGTTACATTGGCCTTGCCAATTCCCTACGAGCAAGTGGACGTTGAGCCACTCGAATCTGATCTCGAGGATTGATCTGGGAGACTTTTCAATTTTATTAAGTATTTTTAATTTTGATGTAAGTTTTTGTTCGGTAGACTTAGACTTTTGTTGGTTCAGGGTAGTTTTCATGTATAAATTGGTTACTATTTGCACTCAATTTATTAATGAAAATTTCCTTGTTATTTCACCACCACTTGTACATAGTTTGTGAAGTTATGTTAATGAAGAGTGTTTTGCCTTTAACTACTTTGGATAAAATCATTGCTGTGTTTGAGCTTTCAGAGATTGAATATCTTATGACAATATTGATTTATCACTCATATGCCGAGTATTGTGGGCATTCAAGCCAAATAGATTGATGAATCTTAAGTATTTTGAATAATCGATTCATGAGCCTTCTGGGGCACTTGAGCCGAATAGATTGTTCGGTCTGCCCTTGCCCCAGGAGGTGCATGATCATTCGGGAGCCGGATGAGACGACCTTGAGAATTTCGAAGAGTTGATTCATGAGCCGTCTGGGGCACTTGAGCCGAATAGATTGTTTGGTCTGCCCTTGCCCCAGGGGATGCATGATCATTCGGAAGCCGGATGAGACGACCTTGAGAATTTCGAAGAGTCGATTCATGAGCCGTCTAGGGCATTTAAGCCGAATATATTGATGAATTTGCCCTTGCCCCAGGGGGTGCATGATCATTCGGGAGCCGGATGAAACAACCTTAAGAATATTGAAGTCGATTCATGAGCTGTCTGGGGCACTTGAGCTGAATAGATTGATGAATCTGCCCTTGCCCCAGGTGGTGCATGATCATTCAGGCGCCAAACGATTGAGGTTTTTTCAATTAATGAGATTGCCTCGAGGGCGCTGCCTTTGTAAAGGATAAATGAACAAAGGTAAAACCTTTATGAGCTTAGTAAACAGTTGACTCTAGCTCTTGGAGGGAGATTTATAGTGTGAATGTCAAACAGACTCTTCTTTAACTGCAGAGGGGAAGCGAGGACGCTAGCTGAGCTGGGCGGAGACATGAATCGAGGTAGTGAGCCTTCGCGCATAAGAAGTAGGAGTTCTAGGGATCAAGAGAGGCGTCAGTCTCCTCGACGTCGAAGCAGGTCACCCAGGCAGGACAAGCAGTCACAGGGTAGATCTCCGCAACTCCAAGTCGAGAAGGGATCTGACGCGAATCCGTGCCCATTAAGCTTTGCAGTATTTGTAGGGAATAGACCCATGACAGAGGCAGACTCGATCGTTCGAGACCCAAATGTAGCGGTCGAGTTTGCTCGACAAATTTTTCCTCCTGGGGTGCAACAGTCAATGGTAGGTCGCCAGGACTATGACGTATTTCGCGAAGGCATTCACGGGGCGATGAAGGGGCTTTACACTGCCTATGAAATTAGCATGCGGCTGCACGCTGCCCGATGAGAATTGGAGAAGAAGGAGGAACGTATTCGAAGTTTAGAGGCTCGCGCGGAGGCGGCTGAGCGTGAGTTAAGAAAGGCCAGGGCGGCTCAGGCACAACCCGCCAGGCAGGGAAACCCAATTGTGGAGGAAAGGGTTACCAGTCGGCTCATCAGTACCGCGCTCGCCGATCTTGAGACGGCGAGTATGTTTGCAATGGAGTCTGCGAAGGGGGGGCTATGAAAAAGGTTTTCATGAAGGCCGAAAAGTTGGAATCGAAAAGACCAAGTAGAAGCTTACCGAAGAGGTTTGCCGGTGTGAGAATCGTGGATTTAGGCATGGTTGGATCAAGGCATCTCAAGCCGCAGAAGCTCTTCGAGCGTCGAGCATTGATTCGGCATCGCCACTCTACCACAGTAAACATTTTCCGTTTTCCACTTTTGAAGTCGAGAAAAGTGAGGATGAGGGTGACGCCATATAAGAATAAGCATTTGTAAGGCTGAAACTCAATAAAAACTATGTAATTTATTGTTGGATTGAATAAAAACGTTCTATTATAAACGTCCTATTATAAATATTTCGTCGTAGTTCGTATTCGGAATATGCGTTTTTCATTTTATTATATGGATGTTTGAATGAATGTACAAACATTGATCGTATAGTGATACGCCGGCTTATAGGCGGGGTCGGCCCAATCGTAATGGTCGTTTATTCTTGAATGTGGCTACTGTTATTTCAAGAGGCCAAAAGCCAGTACGTGGAGTGGTTGTGGCAAATTCCAGTCGGCACGGGGTCTAAATGCTTGGTCGATTGGATTGATAGCGCTGCCCCTGTCCCAGTCAGTGCATGTATTCCAAAAAGCCGTTCGGATACCTAGGCCATGGTGAATGTCAGCCGACGTTCGTCTCTTGGGGTTTTGGCGTTAATGAAATTGCCTCGAGGTCACTGCCAGCATTTAAAAATAAATGGAATGGACTCTTCGTGCCAGTGACCTCATTAATATAACGCCATTTGTTGCGTGGGGTTATATAATATTGTGGATGTAAAACAGAGTTTCTTTAATCAGCCAAACTCGAACTTTGGCCAAGCTTGATGCCGCAATGGATCGCAGTGGAGAATTCTCTGGTGTGGGAGGTAGGTCGTTAAAAAAGAAACGAGAGGCACGTCAGCCTCCAAGTCGTCGAAGCAAATCGCCCCGAAAGGAGACACAACGACCGTTGCCCTTAACCTTTCTTGTCTTGGATCTTGGCCTTGACATTGTCAATGGTGTCAGAGGGAGATCTAGAGATAAGCTAGTTCGGGCACGGTTGGATCAAGGCATTTTGAACCGCAGAGGCCTTCCAAACGACATGCATTGATTCGGGGCCTCCGCTGTATCAACGTGATTAATTCCCCTTTTCTCCTTAGAAGTTAAAGATAGATATAGTAATGTTCGAACGCGGATTGCGTCTATGTAACAGCTGTTTGATCAAATAAAAAGTTTTATTTCAAACATTTGCGTCTTACTCTGGATTTTTTTTTTTATATATGCTTAGCTAAGCACCTTATTTCGAATGTTGGCATGTTTTGTTTCATTTTGTTAGTGCCGAAGGGCGCTCCGAATCTGGAGACTTAGTCGGCCCTAAGGTGTCATGCACCAAAGGGGGGGCTCCGAATCCGGAGACTTAGTTTGGCCAATCGTGATATCCACGAAGGGCGCTCCGAATCCGGAGACTTAGTCAGCCCTAAGGTGTCATGCACCAAAGGGGGCTCCGAATCCGGAGACTTAGTTTGGCCAATCGTGATATCCACGAAGGGTGCTCTGAATCCGGAGGCTTAATCGGCCCTAAGGTGTTATGCACCAAAGGGGGCTCCGAATCCGGAGACTTAGCCGGCCTTAAAGTGTCATGCACCAAAGGGGGCTCCGAATCCAGAGACTTTAATCGGCCCTAAGGTGTCATGCACCAAAGAGGGCTCCGAATCTGGAGACTTAGTTTGGCCAATCATGATATCCACGAAGAGCGCTCCGAATCCAGAGGCTTAATTGGCCCTAAGGTGTCATGCCCCAAAGGGGGCTCCGAATCCAGAAACTTGGTTGGCCCTAAGGTGTCATGCACCAAAGGGGGCTCCAAATCCGAGACTTTAATCGGCCCTAAGGTGTCATGCACCAAAAGGGGGTTCGAATCCGGAGACTTAGTTTGGCCAATCGTGATATCCACGAAGGGTGTTTCGAATTCAGAGGCTTAATCGGCCCTTAGGTGTCATGCACCAAAGGGGGCTCCGAATCCGGAGACTTTAATCGGCCCTAAGGTGTCATGCACCAAAAGGGGGTCCAAATCCGGATACTTAGTTTGGCTAATCGTGATATCCACGAAGGGCGCTCCGAATCCGAAGGCTTAATTGGCCCTAAGGTGTCATGTACCAAAGGGGGCTCCGAATCCGGAGACTTAGTTTGGCCAACTGTGATATCCATGAAGGGGGCTCCAAATCCAAAGGCTTAATCGGTCCTAATGTGTCATGCACCAAAGGGGGCTCCGAATTCGGAGACTTTAATCGGCCCTAAGGTGTCATGCACCCAAAGGGGGCTCCGAATCCGGAGACTTAGTTTGGCCAATCGTGATATCCACGAAGGGCGCTCCGAATCCGGAGGCTTAATCAACCCTAAGGTGTCATGCACCAAAGGGGGCTCCGAATCCGGAGACTTAGTTTGGCCAATCGTGATATCCACGAAGGGCGCTCTGAATCCGGAGGCTTAATCGGCCCTAAGGTGTCATGCACCAAAGGGGGGCTTCGAGAAATGAATTGAGCGATGAAGAAAAATGGTTTGCATTGTAAAAGTGATATATATACAAGTATCAAAGCCCACATGTCAGGTCAGTGATAGGGCTCTAATAAAATCTCTACTTGTGCCGATTGCGGGGAGCCATGGATTTCTTCAATGCCATGGGCTGTCGGGAAGCGTACAGGCTGATGATAAGTGCTTGGAACAGCCTTCATAATATGTAACCAGGTCCGCCCCATGACGACATTATACGGCGAAGGGAGCTTTATGACCAGGAATTCTACTTCGACCGTTCTGGAGCCCGCTCAAACAGGTAGTATGATCTTCCCTAACGAGGACTCGGGATTCATATTAAAGCTGAACAATGGGTGAAGCGCCAGAGACAGATCTGACTCGTTGAAGCCGATTTTGATGAAAGTTTTGTAATACATAACCTCTGAAGTACTCCCTGGGTCTATGAGAATACGCTCAATGGTGAACCAATTTACGCGTAATTTGATGACCAACGGATCGATGTGGGAGGTTGTTATGCCGCTAAGATCGGAGTCATTGAAAGTAATTGTCGGAGCTTCTCTGGGCCATTCGGTCAGAATACTTTGCTTTTGGGGGATTAGATGCGATTGAATTGTGTGCACGGTTGGGGCCATAGGCAGGCTGTAGATTATATGGATCACGCCAAGTGGAGGTGAGTCCTGCCTCAAGGCTAATGCCTAGATTGGCTTTCCCTTTCTCACGTACTGTTGCAATCGGCTGTCTTGCACCAGTTCTTCTAAGTGATCCTTTAATGCGTAACAGCTAGCGGTTTCGTGGCCGTGATCTTTGTGATACTCGCACCGCCTATCCCTTCTTCACGTATCGGGTGGCCCCACCATCTTTGACGGCCATTTGAAGAATGAAAGGTGTTGGACTTTGGTCATTATTGCAGTGATTGGTTCTGGCAACTCTGTGTACTTCTTGTCGGCACACCTCGAGCACCTGCTGTCGACTTGCAGTTGTTCATTCGTTCGATGGGAGCATTGATTGCTTGATCGGCGAGAGTCCCGCCTTTTGTCTCGTTTAGCGCGTTGCCGTGGCTCAGAGCTCGGAGGTGGCACGGAACTTATTGGTTGAGCAATTTCAAGGGGGGCCATTTTGTTGGACATTTGTCCGGCTTTTATTCGCAAGGCATCATCTTCCACTTTGTAATACTCTTCAACTTTCTTCATCAACGCCCAGACTGTTTTGGGGGGTCTTCTGGTCAAGGAACTGCGAAGAGCACTGTCGGGATGTAGTCCCATTTTGAAGGCGGTGATGGCCATGGAGTCGTTGCAAGCGTCGTCGACGAGGTTGAAGCACTCCCAATAGCGCACCGAATGCGCTCTGAGCGTTTCTCCTGACTAGATTTGCATAGCCCAGAGAGAGTCAGCCTATTCCGGCTGTACCTCGTTGGTGATGAACCTGGCCCTGAAGGATTTCTGTAATTGATGGTAGCTTTTCATCGAAGCCGGCTCCAGCTTATAATACCACCTGATAGCTAATGGCCCCAGGCTGCTGGGGAATATTCGGCACATGAGGGCTTCGTTGCCTGCATGCAATGTCATGGCCTGCTTGTAGTGACAGATATGATCAGTGGGGTCTGATTTTCCGTCGTAAAGAGTGAACGACGGAGCTTTAAACTTCTTAGGCAGGGCCGCCCTTGCCATCCGTCAGACAAAAGGATCGTGCTGTTCTTCTTCGTCTGAACTGCTTCTTTTGGGCTTGTTCCTTGTATGTAGACTCTTTTCGGAGGAGCTGGAAGTTTCGGATCGTCCCTTCTTGTTGAGCTCCATGGGTGATGAGTTGGAGTCGTTATAGATTTGCATAGCCCAGAGAGAGTCAGCCTATTCCGGCTGTACCTCGTTGGTGATGAACCTGGCCCTGAAGGATTTCTGTAATTGATGGTAGCTTTTCATCGAAGCCGGCTCCAGCTTATAATACCACCTGATAGCTAATGGCCCCAGGCTGCTGGGGAATATTCGGCACATGAGGGCTTCGTTGCCTGCATGCAATGTCATGGCCTGCTTGTAGTGACGGATATGATCAGTGGGGTCTGATTTTCCGTCGTAAAGAGTGAACGATGGAGCATTAAACTTCTTGGGCAGGGCCGCCCTTGCGATCCGTCAGACAAAAGGATCGTGCTGTTCTTCTTCGTCTGAACTGCTTCTTCTGGGCTTGTTCCTTGTATGTAGACTCTTTTCGGAGGAGCTGGAAGTTTCGGATCGTCCCTTCTTGTTGAGCTCCGTGGGTGATGAGTTGGAGTCGCTATCGGTCTCCTTTGGTCGGGCTTGAGGTCGTTGTCTACCTGTCCTCAGAGGTCGTTCGGGATCTTGGTGCACGGCTTCTCTGGATTTTGCTACTTTCAGGGCCAAATCTTGACGGAGACGTTCATTTTCAGCGATCATGTCCTCCAGCCTTTGTTCATTCTGCTTTGCTTATTCCATGATCGCTCGCATTGTCTCTTGCACTGAAGTCGTTAATGAGTCGAAGTTCAAGGCGCATCTTACAGTGATGGTTTCCTTTCTGAGCATATTTGCTGGAGTGAGGTCATCTCCCTGTGCGGTCTCATCAGTGGCTATCGGAGGATCTTTAGTCATGCCTGCCATGGATGTATTTGAGTATTCCTGCAGACGGCGCCAATTGTGGGGAAGTGGTTTGGAAATACTCTTCAGATCCTGGGAGACGCTAGTGATCCTCAACTAGTCACCTGAAAAGATACAAATACTCCGATCGGGGGTGCCGGAATTAGCACTCCGACAGACAAGTCAGTTCAGACAATCAGGATAGTTTCTTTACTAAGTTAAGTGAAGTGATTCTTACATACCTTTCTCATTCCATTGTTCCTGTATTTATACCTATTCCTTTTGATCCTCGGGGCTAGGGCCTACTTTTTAATCATTGTCCTTTCTCTTATTCGGCACATGTATTGTATTCGGCACATGTATTGTATTCGGCTTCCCATTCTCGTAGGATACAGCCGATTAATATCAGTCTTCTAAGGTACGCACCTTCTGATTTTGCCATTATTCGACTCCCACAGAGCTGACATGGAAAGCAGTGAAAGAGTTCTGAACACCATCCATGAAGCCATTTCGGAAGGAGAACAACAACGGATTACTAACTACAAGAATGCCAAAGAAGTATGGTATGTTCTTATGCAATTTTATGAAAGAGAAGAGTCATCTTCACAACCATCCAGCAATGTTCATGCCTTAGTTGTTCGACTGGATGCGCTCAAAGAAAATAAAAACCAAAAAGAAAATAATAAAACCTCGGAAGATAATGATAAGAGTGATGGTGATGAACTTCAACAAGCCTATGAAAAGTTATATAATGAATCTCTAAACCTATCCAAGATTAATGACAAACTCACTATCAAACTTAAAGCATGTGAGAGTGAGAATGTCAAGCTAAAGGAAGAGATTTCAGCAGCAATGAAGGATGCCATCAAGATCTCAAGTGATAGACAAGATCTCTGTGCAAAGCTCTTGGCCTGTGAAACTGAAAGG